TTAAATATTACGATAAAATTATAAATGAAAATGCTTTAATTTTAGTATTAGCAATTTGATGAGTAAGAAGTTTTTTTTAACATTTAATCGAACAATTTCGTTACCTTAATTGCTGTGTATGTGTTAAAATTTTGAGAAACGTAACAAGACATTAACGTCTAGCTAGAATCTCACTCAAAAAATTGTTGCTAGTAAAAAAAAACCTCTGACACACTTATTTATCTTTCCTTACATCTTTTGATTAATTAAATACAATATATTGATAAAACGCAGTCTTTCCCCACTTACTTTCAATCTTCAAATCCCGTATCCTTAAATCCCTAATAACCACGGAGTGAGAACAAAGTCTTACTCCACAATAGGCCGGCAACGCAATTGTAACTAACTCCTTGTTTTACGAGTGTCAATGAGCGGCACCGCTTACTTAACATCAAGTTATCCGCCTGCTCCTTTACTGAAATCCAAACTAATATTATAAATGCGAAAGTAACTCTGTCTGTTTGTCTGTCTGTCTTTTCTTCACGCCTAAACTACGGAACCAATTTCTGTAAAATTTGGTACAGACATAGTTTGGAACTCAAGAAAGGATATAGAATAGTTTTTATACCAAAATTCTGCAGGAAGTCACTATTCCACACGAACAGAGTCGCGAGTAAAAGCGTGTACAATAAAACCACTCCATAGTTTGCGTTTTTACAGAATATATTAAAGTGAAAGAGAGATAGGTAATACTATGTAGGTGTATACATAACTAATTTGATTTGATCTAACGAAGTTCGAAACTAGAAAAAAAATTCAAATTATATCATTATTTCATAAAAAACCAGGTCTCTTACGAGGAAGGTTTTCCTAAAGATATGCATATACATATAATGATATTTAATAATAACATCTAAGTTGCGATGGCTTTAGTAACACTGTTATGTAGGTTAAAGTGCACTTAAGGGCTTCTTGTAATTTTGGTCCTATTACCCAAAATGAGGGAATAACTATATTATCTTCACACGTTGGTAACGCCGAGGCACCGCAGAAATCCCTTTAAGCACTTTCGGTAAATATAAATTATATCTAGTAATAGAAGTACACAATTTTAATTATCTTTTTATGGGTTTTAGAGATTAGTGTAATTTGATCCTTATATAATGCTGAAACGTAATAATGGCCCGGAGATTGAGGCGCCCGCTTCTCATGCATGAGGGTGCGTTTATTGTGACTTTTTCCGCGTAATATGCACTTTCTGTGATAATTTAGACACAACTGACATACGGTGGGGGAAAATATGGTGAGGAAACCTGGACTTACAATTTCTAATTATAAGTTTGAAATCGTCAATCCGCCTTAAGCAAGCGTGGTGATTAATGCAGAAACCTGCGTGTGAGAAGAGGCCTTTGCTCAGCAGTGGGCACCAATAGGCAGATGATATGATGTGATAATTCTGAAGGCTCTTACTTTGCTTCTAAATTACTCTAAGAAGGTACATTTTCTACGTAAATTTTGTCAAGCAAAGTAATTTTGGGTATAAATTAATGATTTTTACATTAGTCTTGTAATTGTAATCAATAAATTGATTAGTTTAGTTTTATTTGAGAAAAATAAAACAATATTCAACAATAATAATTGACACAATTTCGTTAAACAAAACATGGCCCCGCTACATTCAAAGTACCAGGGCGACATATCTATAGAGAAGTTACAGTACTGGCCTACGTTCCACTCAGCTAGTTAACAACACAATAGCGAAATGTAGCATCGTTTATGTGACGAGCTCTTTCATGTTAGCTCAATGCGAACAACAGCTCGACTCTGATCAACTCGCTCGCTGAGAATAATAGCTACGTGTTGTACTTTGTTTGTCCGTACTTATATTGTATCCGCTACTAGGGCTTGCACGCCATCTTTATCGATGTCGTTGAAGAGGTAAGAGGATTTAAATTTTTTTTGCGATATAAACTCTTTTTTGCTGCCTCAAGTGATCTTAAATGATTGTATTGTAGATGAAGATTATTTCGTTGATATAGTTCTTAAAATTATTCTGATAGGTGTGTGTAAGTTGAAAATCACATTCTTAAGTGATCTTTATGTTCAGGGTTGTGGGTTAAGCGCAATGATTCACCGCGGTCTCGGCCCAAAGCAGGAGAAGGAACAGGGTATTCTTATTCAGTATATGAAACTTTTTGGGAAACTGGGAGAGGTCAAATGATGACTTTCCACTAACAAAAAAAATATCTGTATGTAGTACAAAGTAGTATGTACATATCTTGATGTAGGAATATAAAAGCTTTTTAATGGTTTTCGTTTTTCTGACAAAAATATCACGTTTACACGGTGTCATTTTTAAAAATGTAAAAAAAAACTAGATGAAAGAGTAACAAATATACAAAACGTACACCTAAATCTAATATTAGAAGTAAACAAAGAAAATAACAAACCATAAATAAAATACATAATAATATTAATAAACCTACTCAAACTATACAACTTTATATATTATAATCTTAAAAGATTGCCACTTCTGACAGGGTGAACGAACATTTATTGGAATACTTGTGATTTTTCAATCTCTGCAAATAGCTTGAAACATAGCGAAGAGTTCAATCTATAGAATCAAATAGAAACATTCTTGAAACCCATTTTATGACAAAAGGTATAGTTGCATTCCTACTTCGGCTTTGTATTTGACCTTTTTGTTCAATTAAGTATAAGAGAACTATGCTTTAGCACAAATGGGTCGGGTCGACCGGAGTGATACCACGGCTTCACGAACGTTTGTGGCGTGAAACAACTACAGCCTTGTGTTTCTTCATGTGAATGAGGTTACTGGAGGTTCAACCTTTCCTTCTGAATCCCTCTCCAATGTCTAAATCTTGAAAACTCTAATCCCCAAATGGTCAGCCACGCACGCGTCGAGTAGCTCTTCTAGTATAGCGGGTGTCTAGAGCGGTGCCGATTGCTTACCATCAGGTAATAGGACTACTAACTTTATAAAAATAATCTCCTATTATTGCCTATATTAGCGGGTGACTTACGCTAAACACACTTTATAGTAGAAAATTTAGTTTTGATCTTTCAAAACGGTTAAGGTTAAACACGTTGGAACAATGGCGTTATTTTAATGTACTCAAATAGGAATTCGTTAACACAATATTGTCACTAAAATGAAAAAGTGTATTTTTTTAATACGTATCTATTATATTTTTAGGCCGCGAAATAATCTTGAAAGATTACAATACTATGGTATTCCTTATATCCTTCATACCTACAAAAAAATGTTTCTTCTAGCGATGTATTGAATCGGCCAATCTGTAAATTGCAAACTCAAAAACACGAATTCACAATGAAAAACCGAACTAATCCATTACACCGGTCCAAAATTACACAATGCAAGCGATCCAGAAAATAAATCGAAAAAATCCAGATAAAAAGTGAATAAAACTCATTCAATCGTGAACATTTCTTTACGGGAAATTACAGTTGGGGGCTGCTTCCCAATCCTTTAGATCCCGGTTTTAGAGATTGGGAATAGGGCTTATAAAAAGGTAACCAGATGAATAATATATTCACATATCCGCCTTGGAGACGTCTGAATGATACACGTGGTTTCCCTTCAAAATTGATTTATTCAAATTGCTTCCTCCAAGCGACGTAGCCTTCGAGAGAATGCCTCTTAATTGTAAATCCTATAATAACTGTCTGGGGAATGGTGTATGGCGTTTTGAAATAGTAACCTTGAGTTCAAGATGAAATGCCTCAAAATTTATTACTAGTACGATCAAGCGAAGATCTGCCAAGGTGATAGTATCAGTAATGAATGCGATTACATGAACTAGTTTCAGGAAGTCAGGTTACGTTGATTAAGTGGTTGACTGAAAGACAAACAGTCAATCAGATCTTGACATGAATTTGAGCTATCGAATCGTATTGTTCTTTTCTCGTAAGGTCGAATTGTTATTCTTTTATTTCTCAATTCGAAAAAAATAAAAGTACCGAGAAAATTAGACTGCCGAACAAGATCATAAACATGGTCGAGTAAAATTTTATTGGGGTTTTCAATATTCAACTTTTTTAATATCTCATAAGGCTCAAAATATGCCTAGCAAATATTCATTTAACATGCAAATCTCTTTGGATTTAAAATTATTTGAATATTTAAAAAATGATTAATCGAATAAATATGTTTCTCTTCACTCTTTAATTATAAAAGGTAATGAATAATTTTCGGGCAACCGTGGTTTTGTGGACAGCTTTCAGCGGTTTTGTAAAGTAGGTCATTCAACTCTTGAAAACAATAAAATAGAATTCATTTAAATTTTGATAAATTATTAAATTTTACATTCAGCTATGTTTCAATATAAAGACGAGGTTCAACAATTTAAAATTTATTTATTTATTAATACCTAGATATTTTTACATTTAATCACATTTATTCTTTCTTGAAGGAAATAAGTTATGTGTTATTTCCTAGTAAGTTATACCTCTTCAAAAGGCAACAAATATGCATCCATCCAAATTTACAACATTAAATTAGAAATCGAAGATTTTTGGCTCTTCTTGACTATCAGTATTTCAGACACAGCAGAAAAAACATAGTGATCGCGATCGCGCGATCGCGGCAAACAATAATTTCTTAGTAATTTTCTAATTCTAAAATACAATTAAATTAGTCTACAGTCTAGACATCGAAGATAAGGTTCCAGCTTTTACGTTTATCAAAAAATTAAGACATATTTAAATTTGGACAACTAAACTCAACCACCGCGTTTCAAAAAAAGAACATTTCACTTTTAAATAGCTCTCATTGACATAATAAGCCACAGAAATCACAGTCATTCTGGACATATCTAGAACTTTCAGTAAAGTACCAGCAACTGCAAACAATTTACCTCAGTACTGGTACACAGTCCATCTTAAAGACAAGATCAGTTGACTAAACGCTGGTCACAGATGAGTATCCACAGAGGACTTAAGCGTCGTAATTACCGTGTTTATGTGTTCCCCGTCTGATGGAGTGCACACCAGCTATTACCGTCTCATGCCTTCAGGCAGCGAGGGGATTACTTCAACCTCTGTTAGTTTCATTCTCGTGTTTCTAGCAAAGGATTAACCTCAGTGTCCCGTCAAATTGAGTTCGTGGTTGTTTCATGATCGAACCGGCTAAATGGATGGTAAATCGATTCAGGACAGGTAATTTACCATGTATTCGACTGTCTGATTATGTATAAATGTATATGAAGTAAGGATAATTACTTATGTTTTATTTATAACTTTGATTTTACTAAGCAATGATATTGTAAGTAAAATGGTGTAGAGAGGTTACCTAAACAAAATTCGATTTTCAAAAACGACACACTTATACACATTAAGAATTCGTATGTTTAGACCTCAAAGTGAGATGGCATGATTCAATAATCGCGAGTGAAAAAGAGACAAATATGAAAAAAGTGTGGCTAGTTAGCCACATTTTAATGTATCACTTGCTGAGCACTTGTAACTTATCTAGACCTTTTTACTTATAATATTATTGTTACTAAGGATTACTTTTGTGGCGTGGAGTGTTAACAAACATAGAATTATTTACAAACAAATCACACCTACGAGCGGAAAAATAATATGGATCTTATGTGGAGGTTGTCCAGTCATCGCGTCAATTATATAGTTATCTACTATAACTGGTCACGGAATAGGAAAATAATCTTTCCCAATCCTATCAGAAAGATTGATGACTTATTATTAAACCAATATAGATAGTATTCTTGATACAAGCCTTAAAAAATGTTGAAAAACTAACGCCAGACTATTTTATCACTTAAGAAAACAGCTTCAAAGTTGCATTTAAATTGTGTTACAATAAAATATTGTCGTTCCGTCTCCTCTCGACTTTATTTGATAAAGTACTGAGAATCAGGTAACTTAATATAGAAAGTAGAAACGTCACGAAGCCGGGCACCCTTTGCGATACTTTTAATCTCATTCCCTTTCTTGTAACTGTGTTATTGGAAAAAGGAGATGCAGTTGGTTTGATAAATTCTTTTTGAAAAAAAAGTAAATGGAATGGCTCTTAGAAATCTTCAAAGTGTAATTATTTCTTGAAAATGTATTTATATTTAAATCTTTCTTTTACATTTTTCACTAGTTCTCTCTTCACCCTGTCTTGATTAAAACTGGCTTATAGACGAAATGTGGTAGAGTCAAGCTTTAACACGAATGGGTCGGATAGACCAGAATGGATATCAGAAATGCCTTGCAGAAAACCGGTCTAAGACAACCACAGCGTCGTGTTTCGCCGTGTGCGTGAGGTTACTGGAGGCTCCTTTGCCTTTTGATATCCCTCGCCAATCCCTAAGTCTCTGCAACTCTACTCTCTAAAACGTCACGTACCTCCTCTGCTTACCATCAAGTAATCCGTCTGCTCTTTTGTAGACCTGTAACATAAAAACATATCTAAGACCAGACAGTAGCGTTCTTTGTTAGGTCACTATCTACAAGACGCTTACGTGCCTAACGTGGAGAATTTGGTTAGTTCGATATGCAAAGGCGTTCAGCAGTAGATCTGCAAGACAGTCGTTTTAAAATTCTCAGTCGTGGATTCAATTTAAGAGTCAGGTTAAAATTAAATGAGAGTACCATTTAATCTGAAATATTTTAAATGCCTACTTTAAAAAGGAAACAATTAAACAGTAAGCCCGCAAAACCATGGCCAGAATTTATAACTTAAACATCGGTATTTTATGAGAAAAGCAAATTAAATGAAAATTGTTAAAACAAATTTATCCAAGATATTCTTTATTTGTTTCGACAGACCCTTTTCCTCAATTAATTATATTCGAGTGGGCTAACAATTCTAATGAATATTCAAAATATGTATCCAAAGAAAGTGTTTCGAGGTCGAAAAAATAAATCGGGGTGTTTTATGTGAATAGCGGCCGGATTGATGAATTTACATTTTATTGTTATTGCGTCCTTGTTTTATGGGGGGACCGGATTATTTCGATAAGTAGCCGACTAATACTTTAGTTTGATCACTTTTATTTGTTTTGCTTCGTAAATGTTTTTGTTTGTGCGTCTGAAATGAAACATAAATTGATTTGACATTGAGATTTATGTCTTTATTTATATTACAAGATAAGGTCGTATTCAAAAACCTTTAGGTACCATTAAATAAAAGAATTCGACTTCCATAGTAAATAATTTCAATCTATCTAATTTATCTAATAGCCATCTATAATTTCATACATATGTAAATCGCTCGTAGCCCAGCTACGCCGTAGTCAAACCCGTAGCGTGAACTGCGTAGCAAGTGACTACGCGAACCATTTGGAAAATAATAATTAAATATACTGAGTTTAATAATAGTTCCCGCTCATGTTTAACTGGGAGCGTTTATAAAAATGCTTTCTATATATAGAATCGCAATTTGTGGTTATAACATATTTCGTAAAGAGGGTAGTCATTGAGCCGGATAAACTACCAACTTTCCATCCATTTACATCAAAAAAGGTCGAGTATCCCATCTGAAAACACTTCCTACGGACAGCAAAACACTCTGGAAAATAGTTCCTTCAAAATAGTTCCGAATCCTTGATCAGTACTCATAGTAATTGAGACTTAAGTAAGTCGATGTTTTTGCCAGCGGTATTTTCGTGAGGGCCTCAATAATTTGTGGACGGTACGCCTATCGAGCGCGGAGTAGACTTGACCCAGTTACCTCCCAGGTAAATAGCCACTAGCTAGAGTCCCAGACCTCTAGATTCTAGGGTTTCTTTGCAGCGCTGATAAAAGTAACAATCTTTGCTTTCATTTATTTATTTTCACTGTTTTACTTAAATGGAAGCGCTCTTTTGCACTTTTGAAATGTTTGTTATTGTAAATGCAGGATTTAAATAAAAACAACATAATTAGTTAATTGAAGATAATATAAACATATTTTCTAATAATTATGATCATGATCATTTGTATATGATTTTTTTTACTAATAATCATTATGCGTTTAATGTTATGAGTAATGTAATGTAGATTTTTTTAACCATTTGTTGATGTTCCATTATACGCAATTTATGAAAATTACTTCTGAACTGATTAACAGCCAATTGTTACGTTTCAAATATGAGAATGCTGTATAGATTTTTTTATTTACAATAACGAATACATCGCTAAATGTTGATCGTTTTAATCCCGTAGAGGGTCTACCCAGTACATTATTCACACACATTATTGATTTGTAGAGATAACATTTTTTTAAAGATTATTTTTTACAAACCGCTTATTAATCTACACAATATGTACGCAACTAATTTATTTAAGAAAAGTCTTCATCGTCAAGTGACCAAGTCCAATAAACCTTAGACAGTAATCAGTGTTACGTACAAACTATCTACAAGTCATTGCACTCTAAAATAAAGTCCAACCTCAGATAGTGTTTCATGTACTGTATAAACTCTCCTCGAGATTAAAATGATCGAAAAGCTGTGTATACTAGTAAATACTAACGCCTGATAAAAATATGATAGCAACTCGCGTTGAAACAATTAGCTGCTAAGTACGGATGCTCTATTTAAAAATATAATATCGTACTATGATGTAATTTATGCATTAGATTTACAGGGTTAGATTAGATACATATTAAAGCATGTATCTAATCTAACCCTAAATCCATGTTATGGTTAATTTCACAAAAGTATCTCATTTTCTTTTTTTATTATATAATTTTCCCTACGTATTCAAAAGCGCCTTATCTTTTACATTAGCAATAAAAACGAGTAATATGTTGACATGTTCAAAAACATGATTGTGACGTCATAGCAATGTTAACATAACGTAATTGATAGGCTTAATGCTTCATAATAATGTCAACATAAAACTTAAGTAACTGGATAAACTCTATATCATGAAAATTCTGTCTGTTCTTACTGGCATTCTGTCCAGCTCACCATAAAATTCTTTATAGCCACTAAACCATTGTTACGGCAGCATCCTATCAAGCTAATTTAATCTTTAAAACTCCGTCATTAAACTACAGTTTTAATGTGACATGAAAAGCCTTTCGCTTTAAAAGGGGTTTTATACCTAAGTTTTTCTTATATATTCAGCTATATTACATAACATATAAGAATACAATAATAATTAGACTTTTTAAATGGATATTTTTACTTGTTTCTTTTTCGTCATACATTCCTAATAATAATTTCATATACGAACGCCTGAATGAAATTTAATTAAATTTGTAATACACTCCTGCAAATTGCTAAGAATTTTGATTCAGGCGTTATATATATGACCAAGTTCAATACTTATCGTATTTTTTTTTTACAAATACTCCAAAATAATCCCACATGAAAACATATTTTTTACCCTTTGATCAGAATAACAGTCAGATATAGTTTCCATACATCATAACCAACCAAAACTTAAAGCAATAATTGACAAAGAAGAGACAAAACATGCAAATCCAGTTTAATTTTTATGGAATAAACTCATTTCTTTAAGCTCGTTTGATTGAAAACATACTTTAGGTACGTACAAAGTAAGTTGATTATACTTTGTAGGGTTATACTTATATGTTACCCACCTTGGAAGGGTAGGCAGGGTCCGAGGGAGTCAGAACACCCCAGTGATGTGCCGACGTGACTCGATTCTACAACAAATAGGGTTAGGCAGCCTACATATTGGGCAACTCGGCGTGACGTATGTACATGGATTTACAAATACAATTTGGATTTATGAATGAAATTGGATGGCTGCTCGTATTTGGGGCAAATTTGACTGTATGTGACTTGAACGTACTTCAGACGTAAAGATGAAGCTGAACAAATATGCGCTTGCCTGATTTGGCTTGATGGAAAGTTACGTGTTGATGTGTTTGGTAATATTTTTAGGGTTGTGTGTCGCACTAAACTGGATTGTTAGAAATATTCATGTTTATTCTAATAAAAATAATTAAGCTTATGGACAGACGTGCTCTATCGCAGGTCGCATCGTCCGTTACTAACAGTGTACTGTACTTGTTCAACTTGAATTTACTTTTATGTTATTTTTGTTTTGTATTTTTATTTTATTAAGTATTATAATTTTTCTAACCGATAAGTGTGTAGAGTAGTTTAGATTAAGTAGGTACCTATAAAATTGTCAATACACTATTGCATTAGGTTGCCCTGTAATAATAGTTGTATTTTGTGATAAATAAATAAATTAATAAATAAACAGACGATAAAGTACGAAAACGCCAGTCCATTATAAATGATAAAACAAAAATCAATATCAATAATTATTTACTACCAATAATCATTTCTTAAGTTGAAAAAATATCATAATCATTATCATCATAATCAGTTATTCATTTGCGAATATGGGTATGTATATCTTTAATATAAAAATGAATTGCGAAATGTATTGGTAAGCGCATAACTCAATAACGCCTGGACCGATTTTGCCAATTCTTTTTTTTTGTAATTTTCGTTATTTTGTTAAGAAAAGGTTCTGACGAAAAAAAACTTTCGAAATGTAAACCGGAATAGTGGGAAACAACAACCCTTTCGATGCCGTGGCTGTTCGCTTGCAAAACAAATGACACCGGGGTATTCGGGTACCCGTGCGAAGCAGGGGCGGTCTGCTAGTTATCATATAAAAAGAAAAGTGACTATTTTATTAAAATAGGTAATAGATACTGAATACAAAACACCCTGTTCCTTTTCATGCTCTCAACCGAAGTCGGGGCAAACGTGGCATAAAATATAATTCTCACGTGACTATTTATAAAGAAATTACTTCTGAACACAAACCTTTATGTTTATTCAGAGTACTCACACACTAGTTTCCAACACATACGGACCTTAATCATAACTTCGTCTCACACAGTCAAGAATAATTACCATTAATATACATGAAGTTTGGTCCAAAACGAGGGAGACTAATAAATATGGATACGCAGATATAATATGTGCCTTTGATGACCTGCTAAAGTTGATCTAATTGCTACAAGTGTGGGAGAGCCAAGCTTCGGCACGAACCGCCTCGACCGGGTTGATAAACGGTCTTACAGAAAACCGACGAAAACAACCACAGCGTTATGTTTCGCCGTGTTTGTGAGTTTACAGGAGGCCCAATTCTACCTCACTCCCTATCCCTTTCCAATCCAAAAATATCCGAAATCTTAATCATCAAAAGGCTGGCAACGCATACGTATAACTTCTTTGGTGTTGTGGGTGTCCTTTGGCGGCGCCGATTGCTTACCATCAGATAATCCGCTTGTTTGTTCGTGATTTTTAGGGTTTCGTACCAAAAGGATAAAAACGGGAATCCTATAATTAAAACTTCGATCTCAGTTCGTCTGTCAGTCACTGGGCTATATCTCTCTTACTGTGATAGCTAGACGTTGATTTATTTGCTCATTTTTCTTGATGCTATACGACGAACGTGATATGAAGCGCATTATGCGCGAGTCCGATTTGCACTTTGCTCTAGGAACGTACGGACGTACTTTACGTCTATTATTGAATAAACAAATAAGTTATTACGGACATTTATTTTCCACTTACTATCTACACAGATCAAGATAAAACATGATTAATTATTATGTTTTCGGCTTACTCACGTAATAATTTGACGAGATACTCGACTAGTTTCAAGCCATGCTAAAGGCCCATATTCATGAGCAGCATTCCAACTACATTGAAACATTTGAAACTAGTCAAGTATCTCGTCAAATTATTACGTGAGTAAGCCGAAAACTTATTAATTAATTTAGAATGTCTCACGAAAGTTATAATAAAAAAAAACATAAGATAATATAATAACATAGTAATTTTACCTTTGCTTTTTTTTCTTCCATACTTTAACCGTCTCATAATTCTATTCATACTTATGGAATATCCTATTTTTAATAATTTTCTCTCTTAAGCCTTCATATGGAACAAGCCTTAGGCAATCTGCACACGGATGGCCAGGTTCAAGCACGTACCGCTTTTATTTTTAACAGATTATGTTAAAGCCAGTTCACTCTTTAAGAATATAGGAAAGCGCCATACACAGTCGCTTTTATGGAACGTTACACTCATACCAATCTGGACTCTAGACCAATTTTCTGCTATTTGAGGAAATAGGATTCTAAACAATGGTATTGGATTTTATATTTCTTTGAGAATATTGGTGTTTTGTATTAGTGCTGATATTTGTATAGTTATTAAGTATATATTTTTTGGGATGGTTAGTACCTACGTTACGTACAGTCGGTGTCCAAAAAGAACTTTCTGCAATATAATCGCTAACCACCATGTTAGCTAAATTCTATTCTATTTAATAAAATAAAATACTTAATTATTAAGATATATATTTCTTACAAAATTGATTTAAAGTCTATGAGTTATTGTTTCACTAATGGGTTGAGTTACGACCCCACCCAAAATCCGTATCATAGCCCCGCAATTAATATAATAACGGTCTGAAGGATTTCCTACCTAAAACTACCCCACTACCATCAAGATTAGACACAACCCTACGACCCTCACAACCCTATTTTGACGAACCTCTTTTCTTTCACAGATTATTCGAGGAAAATCAAGATCTACTAAACATGTTTGAAAAATTCCGTCAATGCCGGACGAAGGAGGAACAAATCAACTCGATGGAGCTTGCAGAACACGCCAATAATGTGATGAATACCTTGGATGAAGGTATCAAGGGTCTCGATGACCTTGACAACTTCTTCGGCTATATACACCAAGTTGGGGCTAGCCATAGAAGAATACCTGGGTTCAAGGTGGAATATTTTTGGGTGAGTATCAGATGTTTTTTTCTGTTTAGTAAATTTAGTAGTTAGTTGTTTAAGTTTGGTGTTATCAGGGACAACAAAATATACATGTAACAAGTAAATCTAATAGATAAAAATGCTCAAGAATAAACTTATTTACAAACAAAAACAGGTCCTAATAACAACTCCCATGGGCTACAGGAGTGGAGGTCTTTGGGTAATTCCAAAAAATCTTAAAGTATACCTTGTTTATTATGCGAAATTCAATCTAAAATCATTCTCAATAAAGTCATTTTGCTAAAAGTTTGATTGTAACATATACTATTTCAACGTCAGCATGCCAATAGAAATTGCTAATTAAGCTCAGTGTTAGAAAGGTACCTCTATACATATATATTACTTTAACGAATTAATCACAAAGAGGTTTAAAACTTTTAATTAATGCTATAAAGGGGCTAGGTTTACAAAATGGGATTAAAGGTAAAACCAACAGCCTCGAGGTTGAATACACTCATTTACAAAATTCCAATAAATCCAATCATGGTTGAATTTCATTTCGTCTGCCGTTGAATTTATTTGGAGTGCGAATCATATTTTCGGCACGAAGGTTCCAAGAGGTGGGCGTCATGAACCTATTAATTTAATATTCGAATGTAATGGATGCGAAGAGATTGTCAACGCGGTGGAGCAAACAATGAGACGTTATCTATACTTTGAAGATGTCTATTAAATTACAAAGGAAAAGGTATACGTGTTACTCATACGCGAAATAAGGCAACTTATGGGAAATTCATCAATGGCTTCTCTTGCCGTTGAGTGGGGAAGAGAGAGTGTTAGAGGCTTCCTAAAATAAAAACATCGCTCCTTCTCCTGCTGCAGGCCAGGGCCATGATATATTAGTGCGCTTGCATCCCCAACCCCCTCCCGTAACTTACTCCTCAACTTCAACAACAACCAAGCGTTGGTAAATTAATGGTGCTCTAAGAACCAGGATCCAAAACTTACACTGAAGTATTATAGGATGTCTTGACTACGTTCATTAAAATTTCGACCTAAGCAGTAAAGGTATAGAGATAATAGTTTCTCATCCCATATCGTGTCACGAAACACATTATTCATTAATAATCAGCTTCTCAACAAAAGCGGTATATCCATATTTAATCCAAGAATAACCTTCGAATGTATTGTGACAGAAAACTCTTTGACATCATGACGTCAATGGATGGTTGTCAAACGTTGCCTAGAGATTGTAAATTTCGTCGTGAATTGTCAATACGAGTTGGTGTAATTGGTAAGGCGTGTGGATTACACCACAGAGACCCCGAGTTCGAGTCCCGCCGTAAACATGAAGTTTTTTAGTTGATGGAAGTTTTGTCGAACTTTCTGGAATTATTTGTGTGAAAGAGATGAAAAATTAAAGAGTGAGAAGGAGAATAAATAAAAATGAATAGCGAAATTATTGGAAGGTTCTGGAGGCATGACGATCAAAAAGAATAACGAAATTGAATGTTCCAGAACCTGACCGGGGGTATATAAGCAGAACTGCGGCTCACCGCTGGCAGTTGAGTTCTAAGTCTAAAGCGATTCGGAAGAAAAGGAAGAAGTGGAAAAGAAGAAAAGTGAGTGAAATAGTGAAGTGCAGTCAGTTAAGTGAGTTAAGTCAGCGTGAACGGCAAAGTTGTGTCAGTCGGCCGGACTCTGCTGGAGAAGAACGCCGATAACTTAACTCCGTGGACGCTGTAACTTAAGTGCAATAGAAAGTCTGAAAACCGGTATTAGTGTTTCATTTCATCCAATCCCGTAACCCAAGCCCGCATAGTCAGGAACGTGACGTCAGGCACGTAACATTTGGTGTCAGAAGTGGGATTGGAGAAAAATGCCGCTAGTGCCGCAGGACGTAAGAGGAGTGAGTACCCGTTCAATGTCAGAAGCGCAGCGTGTGAGGGAAGAGGGTGCTGCAGCTCGAACCAGCGATGCAGAAGCCAAGCCTGTGCAGGTGGATCTTCTGCTACAGCTGCAGCAAATGATGGCAGAGCAAGCGCGCCGCCAAGAAGAGCAAGCGCGCCGCCAAGAAGAGCAAGCGCACCGCCAAGAAGAGCAAGCGCGCCGTCAGGCAGAACAGCTGCGGGAGCTTAAAGAAGAGCAAGCGCGCCGCCAAGAAGAGCAAGCGCGCCGCCAAGAAGAGCAAGCGCGCCGCCAAGAAGAGCAAGCACGCTGTCAGGCAGAACAGCTTCGGGAGCTGAAAGAAGATCAAGCTCGTCGCCAAGAGGATCAAGCTCGCCGCCAAGAGGAGCAAGCGCGTCGCTTGGAAGACATGCATAAGGATTTTACGAAGGGACTGCAAAAGGCTGTCGAACGGGTACAAGAAGTGGAGGAAGGGTTAGGCAAGTTGAAACTTCGCGTCATGGCGATAGAGGAGAGACTGGAAGAAGAGATCTCCAAAATCAAGCAGGAAGTTACAAACCCAAGCCCTTTGAAGAGCCGAAGCCGTCTTGCAGCCGTTTTTGACGCCCCAAATGCGGCCTTAAGCGCAACGAAAGGGCTCAAGATTCCCCATTACGACGGAACAACATCCTGGACTGCGTTCAAGCTACAGTTTGAGACACTTATGGAGGCTTATGGTTGGACTCAGAAGGAAGCACAGTCAGCCCTTACCCTGGCCCTCCGTGATCAAGCGCTCTCAGTGCTGGAAGCTATCGGCGCAAGTGGGGATCTCAGCTTTAGTGCCCTCCTCGACGCACTGGAGGCACGTTTTGGAGACAGCCACCTCGAGCACGTGTACAGAGCGCAATTAAAAGAGCGTACTCAGCGTGCTAATGAGAGTCTACAGCAATGGTCCGTGGAAATCGAGAAACTTGTGCGTCGAGCTTTCCGGTCGACTCCGTCAATGATTGAAGGCACGCTTCTCCAAGCGTTCATTGACGGTATTCGGGACACCGAAGTACGAGCTGCTGTTCATCTGGGCCATCACAAGAACATGAAAGAAGCTCTGGCCCATGCATTGGAAGTGGAAGCCGTGCGTGGTAACTCCCGTACCTTACGTCTGCGGGAAATGACGACAACGGAGCAGGTACCTCCACGCCGTCGGAACTTCATGTGCTATGGATGTGGAGAGCGTGGGCACATACGGAGCGACTGCCCGAAGAAGATGAACCGCCAGGACGCGGCGGTCTCAACTTCTGACCAGCAGGGAAACTTAAATCCAGCCAGGGCTGCGGGGTGGGCGCTGGCTGGTAGTGGAACAACCCCAACAATCTACATCAAGCAAACCAACGATGGAAATACTCTGGTGATAGACGGTCAAGTAAATGGGAAAAACAGTCAGCTAACATTAGATACTGGAGCTTCAAGGACGGTGATAAATGTTCAGCTGCTCGAGCAAAACATCAGGAAACACCTTAAACCAATTGTTGGCCTACAAATGAAATCAGTTACCGGCCAGTGCATACCGATAAGTGGAAAACTGCATGTAACAATCAAAATTGGGGAACGTGTTTTTCGACATGAGGTTATTGTGGCCAAAATTCTTGATGACTGCATCCTGGGACTTGACTTCCTGCAAGGGCACCAGTGTAACATCGACTTAAAATCTGGAGTTTTACTATGTGGAACTGAGGAAATTCCGATGAAGGGTGGAACCCTGGGAAAAGTTTGCTGTTTAAGAAGAACTGTTCTTGCACCAAAATCACAGACTCTCGTACCAATCGCATTACCTAGGAGGAAGGAAGGAAGTTTACCTCGAAGGTGCGCTGTGATTGATAAATCGGAACACGTAAGCTCATGGCTACCGGCAAGAACTGTCGTGGGGTCATCTGATGTCAACCGCATTCCGGTATTCAACTTCAGTGATTCAAAAATTACGATTGAAGAAGGAGAGCCTGTGGGCGTATTGGAAGAAGTGGCCTGGATAAGAAAATGCTCGGAGAATCTTGTGAAGAAGGACAGTACGGGAATTGACTTTGTAACGAAAATCTTAGACGAAAACAAAAGTCTGACAAAAGTGGAGACTATGAAAGCTAGAAATTTACTTCTTCGATTCTCTGATATGTTTTCAAGAAGCGATGGTGATATTGGCCGAACTGGTTTGGTGAAGCATAAAATAAACACAGGTGATACAATGCCAATTCGTCAAAGGCCCAGACGCATACCATTCGCTCGTGAGAAAGAGGTTGAAGAAATGATTGACGATATGAGGAAAAATGACGTGATAGAGCCCTCTTCTAGCCCTTGGTGTTCACCTGTCGTGCTTGTCAAGAAGAAAGATGGTTCAACGAGGTTTTGCGTAGACTATCGACGATTGAATGATGTAACCAAGAAGGATAGCTACCCGTTACCAAGAATCGATGACACACTTGACACATTGAGTGGCATGAAATGGTTTTCAACGCTCGATCTGAAAAGCGGCTATTGGCAGGTGGATTTGGATCCCAAGGACAAGGAAAAAACCGCATTCTCAACTGGGAAGGGACTCTGGCAATTTAAGGTGATGCCATTTGGATTATGCAATGCACCGGCAACTTTTGAGCGTTTGATGGAACAGGTGCTGGCGGGACTGCTGGGCGAAACCTGCCTAGTTTACCTCGATGACATCATCATTGTTGGACGGGATTTTGACGATCATCTAAGGAAATTGGAAAAGGTACTCGACAAGCTGCGTGGAGCAAATTTAAAGTTGAGTCCAAAGAAATGCTCTTTCTTCAAGCGCGAAGTGAATTATCTAGGACATGTTATTTCTGAGAGAGGAATTGAGACTGATCCAGCCAAGACTGTCGCTGTCAAGGAATGGCCAACACCTAAAGACAAAACGCAAGTTCGGGCATTTCTTGGATTGTGCTCGTATTATCGGCGGTTTGTGAAAGGATTCTCGGACATTGCCAAGCCATTGCATCGATTGACAGAGGATAAACGTGCCTTTGTTTGGGACGAGGATTGTGAGCAAGCCTTTCGAGAACTAAAAGAACGGCTTTGTAACACACCAATTCTCGGATATCCCAGCGCGAAAGGAATATTCGTAGTTGATACGGATGCCAGCAATATTGGAATAGGAGGTGTCCTTTCACAACGCGATGGTGAGCAGGAGCAGGTTATTGCTTACTTCAGCAAGTCACTATCCAAGCCAGAGAAGAATTATTGCGTGACCAGGAGGGAATTGCTGGCCGTAGTCAAAACCCTGCACCATTTCAAGAAGTATTTACTGGGACGGAAATTTTTGATCAGAACTGATCACGCTGCTTTGAAATGGCTGCTTCAGTTTAAGGATCCCGAAGGCCAAGTAGCCAGATGGCTGGAACAACTTCAGGAATTTGACTTTGAAATCGAACATCGCGGCGGAAGAATTCATGGCAACGCAGATGCATTATCGAGACGCCCATGCGTGGAAGATTGCAAACATTGTGCTAAGAAGGAAACTGCTTTTCTTAAGGTGATAAGGACTGATACTGTTGACGAGGCATGGGGAAATGATGCGATGAAATTAGAACAGGAAAGAGATGCAGATATTAAACCAATACTGGAGTAGCTACGAAGTGGTAACAAGCCAAGTTGGAGTGACGTCGCCCAATATAGCGCGGTAACGAAAGGTTTATGGGCACAGTGGAAAAGCCTTACGCTGCATAACGGACTTCTGTGCAGGAAATGGGAATCAACAAACGGCAAGGACGAGCATTTGCAATTGGTGGTGCCTCGTTCAAAAATAAGGGATGTATTAAAAGCGTTCCATGATGGATCTTCTGGAGGACATTTGGGAATTAGGAGGACTTTGGTGAAGATCAAGGAGAGGTTTTATTGGTTGCATTGCAAATATGACGTCGAAGATTGGTGCCGGAAATGCACTAGTTGTGCAGCTGTCAAGGGTCCACAAACAAGGAGCAGGGGGGCGATGAAAATCTACAATGTTGGTATGCCTTGGGAGAGAATAGCCTTAGACATCGCTGGACCATTTCCAATCACTGATTCGGGCAATCGCTACGTTTTAGTGGTTATGGACTATTTTACAAAATGGCCGGAGGTCTTTGCCATACCGAATCAAGAGGCAGTAACTGTAGCGACGAAGTTGGTAAACGAAGTATTCACCCGATTTGGAGTACCCTTGGAGATGCACAGTGATCAAGGACGGAACTTTGAATCCCAAGTTTTCCAGGAAACTTGTAAACTTTTGGGAATCCATAAGACTCGAACGACCCCTTATCATCCACAGTCAGATGGAATGGTCGAACGCTTCAACCAAACATTGGAGCGACACTTAGCAAAGGTGGTTGACAGCCATCAGAGAGATTGGGACACTTACATACCTCTCTTCTTGCTTGCCTATCGGACTGCTGTACATGAAAGTACCGCAAAGACGCCTGCATTTGCAAATTTTGGAAGGGAATTGAGATTACCGGCAGATCTTGTGTCGGGCTGTCCACCTGGTGACTCTCGCACCGAGTTTAGCGATTACATAAGCGAGTTAAGGGCAAAAATGTTGGACATTTATGAGCAGATCAGGGAGGCCGGTCTTCAAGCTAGTGATCGCGCAAAGACGCGCTATGATCGACGAGCCAATTCTGTTGGGTTTGAAGAGGGGTCATTGGTCTGGCTTCATAATCCAGTCAGAAGGAAGGGAAAATCTCCAAAGCTGCAACCGAGTTGGGATGGTCCTTACGAGATAGTCACGAAGATCAATGACATTACTTACAGAATTCGGAAGTCTTCAAGGAGCCCTTTGAAAGTTGTCCATATA